ACACACACACACACACACACACACACACACACACACACACACACACAGACAGACGTGTACATACATACATGTATAACTGTGTGATTATTGAGATTCTTTTTCTTTTAATAGATTAGACAAAACGTATTCTCAGAAATAAATTATATTACAAATATATATTTCTCAAAGGGATATTCAAAGTCTGTTTTTATACACACATTAGTCGTTATACACGTTAGATGAAAGAAAAGAATTACGTGTTCCACAAATTCCTGAATATTTCAGATACATATTTATCGCTTAATTAGTCAAACTATTTGTTATACGTATATACTATTACAAATTTTTCGATATTGACACTTGTGATTTTACAACATTAGTCTCTTAAAAAAAGAAATACTTGGACAATCTCATATTTTTACAGAAAAAAAATAATTAAAGGACGAGAGAGCAGTTTCTTTGATTTCGACGATTTCACCGATCATTGCACAAACAACACTCCACGTCGTCAAGAAATCAACGATCGTTTCTTACGCGTGTGTCACTCGTCTGCTGCCGGGTATAACCGCGAGTACGACCCATCTACAAAAATTTCACGTTATCCAAGAAATTTATGCGGCCGCCGATCATCATCATGGACAAGTATCAAGCTGATCGATCGTTGAGCACCGTGTCAAATATCATACCGTTATCCATCAGCGAGAGTATCAATCCTATGCGAGACCGTCTGCAGTGTCCGTTATGTGTATTCGCAACGTCAAGCAGGTATATACACGCTATACGATTAATCTTGCAAGTAATCTCAAGCACACCGTACATGGGCATTTTATTTCAAGCTTATACGTTTGTTTAATCATGTGATATATATATATATGATATATGATCTCGAATGTGACGATCGAACGTTATTATTTAGTAAAATGTCGTCAATCAAAATCATAATAATATTAAATTAGTAAAATTGGAGGGCAAATATTCGTTAGATTCGTTACGTTCTAGGCCAGAATTTACCGAGCATCTACGTAGCCGTTGCACGCCGAAACAACGCAACACGTCCAATCTTAAAGCCGTTCTTGCGCATTTACCAGCCCTTAAATCCCCTTTTGATCCACACGGCGACAGCTGTTTTTCATTCACCCTAACGGAACATGAGACAGTAGATGAGCACCAGACCGACGAGCAGTCTTCTCTTGGTGCTTACCGCGTGACGCCACGTGAAAACAACGTAAACGGGAGGCGAGACAGAAGCTTATTATTCCGAGAGGCTAAGACGTGCAAGCATTGCACGTTCATAGCTAGCACAAAGATGGAATATTGGGAGCACATGCGTTGCCACATCAAAGGCTTTACATGCTCCGAATGCTCTTTCGTTACCAAGTACAAGCATCACATGAACCATCACTGGCTTAGTGCTCATCACGACGGCTCCAAACCGTTTAAATGCAAAAAGTGTTTGTACACGTGCGTGAGCAAATCAATGCTGACCAGCCACCTAAAGAAGCACTCCAACATCTATCCGTACAGATGCGCGGACTGTACATACAAGAGCAAGTTCTGCAACGCGCTAAAGAAACACCTGCGAAATAAAAAACATCAGCCGGCGATGGTGTTGAACGCTGACGGTTCGCCGAATCCGTTGTTCCGCATCGACGTCTACGGTACCAAACGCGGGCCCAAGCACAATAAGCTATTTGCTTCCGCTAAAGAGCAGCAGGAGGACGTAAAGAGTACTGTCGCGACGATGACCACCACCGCGAACGACGATCAGCAGCTCGGTTCAGCATCAGTGACTTGTCCCGCACTCTTGTCACTTTATTCGCCGATCGCTCGGCGTCCGCGAACTGTAACCGCGATAAACGGAATAAACGATGTTTATTCGAGAAATCAAAGTGGCATAAATAAGAACACATCTGTCGCGACGTTTCCTTATTACAGAGATTTGGTTGCCGCATTTAATCTGTCGAGTCACGTTTCGTTTTGCAAAGACGCGACATTCTACGAAAATGTGCGGAGAACGGATCACGCGCAGTCCGGTACGTTAACGGAGTACGCAAAGATTTTAAATGTCAGGAACAAGATGCCGGATATGTTTGCTCAACGTCTGCCTGTAACTATATTCGACACGACAAACAACATCATGAGCGAACATCACTCTTCAGATAGCGTGAAAGCTCCTAGCGACGCCTCGACGACATTCGTGGCGGTAAAAACCACCCAGCTAGACTACCAGACGACTAGAGATTCTACATCAAACGTGCCGTTGGATCTCCGCATGGCCGATGAGGTGCGTGGAAAGACGCAGTTTCGGTTTCAGGGATTAGCGCAACGTGGTGCGACGTCACCAAAAGTCACCCGCGGCACCAGCAAACGTAAGGGTAAAGCGATCAAGTTGGAGCGTCGCGTGGTAAAAGAGAACACGGACCAAGAGCCAAGGCGAAACGGAGGTGTGTCTTTCGAGTCGTCGCCAGACAGTACGGCCGGTTTCCGCAAAGTAAATCAGAGGATCAAGGACACTAAGGACGAAACCGTTGCCGATTTATTCGATGCCGAGCTGCTCATCTGTCATTACTGCGAGATTATATTCGGCAACGTGATCATGTACGCCATGCATATGGGTTGTCACACGTTTGATGATCCTTACACATGCAATATATGCGGCCAACAATGCATCGATAAGCTATCCTTCTTTCTACATATCGCTCGATCGGAGCATTAAGTAAAAGTAAAAATGTCTAGTCGAATTTGCCTCTGACACTTCAATCGAAAGAAGGAAAACGTTATGTGCGTCGTGAATACGCCAACTTTTGACGTTAAAAAGAATAAACCATGGCAAGATGTAGGGAAGAAAATTTTCAACATTTCTAGTCGAGATGAGTATTGAATACAAAAAGATACCTATACGAACGTTTGCGTTTGCCAGCTCGATAGAAAAGCAAAAGGTTATATATATATATATATATATTTTGATCGATATTGTATATGTGCATATATATTGCTTAAACGATATATGTTGCAGCGCGACATACAGTGGAGGTCAGTATGACGGGTTGCCCATTCGTGCAGGCGCGCGTGGTCATTCACAGCTACATTCACTTTTGACGCGCCTACGCAGCTGTGACCGACCATGCGCGCCTGCACGAACGGGCAACCCGTCATGCTGTGTGACCTGTATGTCGGTTCAACACAACCTACATACATATGAATCGAACTGACAAATCAATTTCAGTCGAGGCTATATATTTCCAAACAAATATTTTTAACGAGATATACATGCACAGATGATGTATTCTATGAATGTACACCTCAAATTTCGCCGTATACTTGTCGAACTGAAATGGACCGAAGGTATCGAAAATCGAAATACCGCAAATTTAATCTTTAATGTTGTTTGTTGCATTTTTATGATGATGAAACACAAATGTGGAGCTCATTTTTGCACATATATATATATATATATAAGAGATAAGATACAGATGTTATGCAGATCTCAATCTTTATCAATATAAAGACTGAATAGACGAAAAATAACAGAAGACGTGCTGTGATTTAGATTAAACTGATATTTCTTTCTCTTTGCACACACGTGCTTTCCTTAATTCTTTTATTTTTCTTTCTTGCGTAATACAAAGTCGCGATATTCTGCATTTACACGATCTAATTAAGAAGGTAGACTGCACGCTTGACAAGCAAAAAAATAGACCTCTTTTTTTAAGTTAAATATTTAAGAAATATAAGTATTTCTTTTGCTGGTGGTGGACATATGATTCCAAAGTAACAAAAAATCTAAAACAAAATGAAAAAACGACGTCACAACCTATAGAAAAGTGTGTCTCTAAAATTTGTTGAAAGCAAAATTTGAAAAAAAAATTCTTTTAAATTTTATTTAAAAAAATACAATTTCATACTTTTTTGCAAGTAAAATATAATTTTTTCCGAAATTCTGTTTCCGACACATTTTAAAAATTGTTTTCAACAACTTGAAAAAATTTTTTCAAAGAAATCGTTGGATCCGTTTTTGACATTTCATGTCCACCACACCAACTACTAAACTATATGCTTCCTTTCATTACCAATACGTTCCTTTATATTATTTTTTAATAATTATTTTTTATAATTCTAATTTTAAATACGTTGCTTGTCAAGATTGTCTCTACCTGCTTAATTAGATTGTGTTCGTGCAGGATATCGCGACTTTGTCGTACGCAAGAGAAAAAAATAAGAGAAGGAATAAAGCACGTGTGTTCCAAAATACTCAGATTGTTATTTCTTAAATATTTAATTTAAAAAAAAATCAATAAATTTTTTGCTTGTCAAAGTTGTCTACCCCCTCAAGTATACGTATCGGATATTTCTTTTCACGGCAAACTACTTGCATTACTTTGTTTTTTTAACAACGTGACAAAAATGCAAAAATTTTCATTGTTAAAAATTATTATAAATTATTTTTCTCTGCCGTCATGTAAACGTAGACACGTAATACACACACACACACACACACACACACACACACACACACACACACGTAGATGTACATGTGTATAACGAGATAAAGATTTTTTTTTACAAAATCTCGAAGAATACCACTATTTCAACTTGAGATTGAGAAATAATTGGAAAATAATAAATATGATTTTCTCGTATCTCAATATTTGTTGGCCGTCTTCGAGATTTTGCCAAGGTTCTTCAACTCTTTTTCTTAACAGATCTAAGTATATGAGTATTTCCTCATCACAGTATCGTACGTTACGCACTTGCGCATCAATATATTGACAAAGCAAAATCCATCAACACACGTACAGCATATTATTAAAAAGTGGCAAATTTATTCGTATAAATTTCACACGCCGTACTATGTTTCTGAATTATTTTCCATTTTTGTTCTATTTCTCTTTTCTATATTTGCGTGCGCGATGTTTCGTTCTTCTCGCAATAATATCGATGTATCATATGATTAATGATCAAAATCTTAAAGAAACGGATACACAAATTCTGTTTTCGAAGATCTTTACTTTTTCGAAAAAAAAATTTTTTTATTTAAAACTATATACCGTTTTACGTCCGAACTCTCTTAATTTTGTTGCCAGAGTTTAATGTAACACTATAGTTTGTGACGTACATTTTTATTCGTGACGTATTAGAGAGACTTGACGATATTATCCTTTATGTGAATTTTCTTTATGCGTATGGGAATCTTGTGTGTAAACTCGATATACGTTTGACGTATAGTATAAAACCCGTGCATTCTTTTTTATTCGCTTTGAACCATTATATTCTTTATGTTGGTTTGATATTTCTTCAAAGTTTCAGAGCCTTAACACACGTGTCGTACTCTACTACTATAATCATCACATCTTACGTACCAATAAGTTTCTATCAAAATCTTTCTTTACATGTGTGTTTATATATTTTTCTCAAGTATTATATTCTTAAATACGTTTACATTTCTTTGAAGCACGAATATTATAAACCGATAAACAAGAAAAAGTTGCATGACAGACGTGTGATAAAATCATATGAGCGCACGTAATGGAATGTATATACATATAAAGATTATACAGACACATAACACATATTTATACGTGCGCGTACGCAACTAAAAATTTATTTCATCTAAATATATTTTTTCAAACAAGTTATATAAAAAATTTATTTTATATTTCAAATACAAAGTGCTTGTAAAGCACTTTTAGAATAAATCTTGATCGCTATTAAATTGTATTATGAAATAAATATAATTTATTCGAAAACCATTACATTGAATTAAATTTTTCATTATCCCATAAAATAAAAAATAACAGAATTGAACAATAAACACATTATGTAATTAAAATTTTGAAAAATACGTACTTTATGTATTATTGCTTTTCAGTCGTCTTTTATGTATAAACTACAAAATAATTATATATAATTTTAGAAAGAGAAAGATAGGAGAGAGAGAGAGAGAGAGAGAGAGAGATTAATAATAATAGTAATTTGAATTTAATCGAAAAAGTAAAATCAATAGATTATATATATTATTTATTATAATACCTTATAATACCGACTATATACAGGGTGTCCCAAAACTCGCGGATATAGAGTACGATTCTTTATACTAAAAGAAATAACCCTTTTCTTTAACAAACGTGCGTCTGACAAGTAGTTTTTGTAGCAGAGTAAATTAAAGCAGAGAGAAAGATGGTCATGATGCTCGCGTTTTGGGGGTACCCGAATGCTGTCGGTATGTGCACGTTTTTGTGGTTCTCTTCCGTGCTATGTCCACTATTTTGTGGTAATGTCAACGATTTTGGGGTTCTCTTTCATGTTATGTTCACGATTTTTTGGTTCTCTTCCGTTAAATTCACGATTTTTTGGTTTTATTTTTAAAGAGAATCAAAAAATCGTGGACATAGCACGGAAGAGAACCACAAAAACGTGCACATACCGACAGGATTCGGGTACAGCCAAAACGCGAGCATATGACCACTCTTATCTTTCTCTTTAGTTAAAGTTAACGATCGAACGAACGCTCTGCTCGTTTAGTGCCCGTTTTCACCAACGTCGTTTAAAGCTGGAGGTCGATTCTGTATCATCTTGGGACGAGGTGAAAATTACGAAAGTGAGGAAATTTACTAGAGAATCTACACGTTCATTTGTCGAAATCTAGTAAATCTGTTCACTTTTCTAATTTTCACCTCGTCTCAAAATATACAGAATCGACCTCCTGATTTATGATAGCATTGATAGCCATAACCGCGTTGATTTAAAGGCCATCGCACACAAAATGCATAGCTTAGCATAAGCATAGCATAAGACCGCTAAACCAATGAGCATCCAGCATAAAGTCGCCATATTGATTTACATAAGATGCTCATTGGTAGGGCCACTTTGACCAAACTCCAAGTAATCGTTGCGTAGTCTATTGGAAATGACCACGCGCGTCATTTCCAATGGATTAATCAACTTATCAACGATTAAATTAATCGGAGCTTGGTAAAAGTGGTCCTAAATTCATTTAACGTCGTCCATATCTCTTTACATGTAAGTTCGGCTTGCTGCTTGTTAAACGTGGCGACTCAAGCGAATAGCGAATAGCGAGCGAGTAGCGAGCGGAGTAGCGAGTTGCGTGATTCCAGTCTACGTTGTATGTACATACATCGAGCATGAACGTCACAATTCACATATGTAAATGGCGAGGAATATATATGACGTATCGACAATATAAAGAAAAAATTATTTGCGGTGAGTGCTTTGTCAAGTCGATCCGTTAACACAAAAAAACGCAGATCGCGTTGTTAACGAATGAAATATACATAAACGATCTGTATCTGTTTTGCGTGTTGATAAACGACATTTGTGCAAGAGGATGGCAAGTTGACCTATCGCGAAGAATGGAATGCCTTGTACAACGGTACGTTCCAACGATAGGCAGGCGTACGTACGTACGTTAACGTATGTGCCTGCGCGTGTGTTGACGCGTGGTGTGTAAATGCGCCTGATGCGTGTGATGTGAATATTATAAATCTGGCGAGATATACGCATCACTTTTATCGTGCTGTACGTTCTTTGTTTTGCGTGGTTAATCCTTAAAAACGCGAGTAAAAACCAACACGTCGCGAGTCACATATTGAAGGTTACACACGGTTAGGTTTCCTCGATGATATCGCGACTCGGACTTGGTTCACGCTTTAGTGGGCGATCGAGCCATAATATACCTATATCTGTATTTAGAAAAAAGTATTGTCGTGTACAAGTACCGCGTAGTCGCCGTTTTATTCCGTCCAACTCGTCGTACGGACGTTCGGTTTGCTGTTGCATCAGACTCTCTGCGTAAAACATCTCAGTAATGTGCGGAACCAACCTGCCAAAGACTCGTCGTGTCATAAAATTATGAGAAACATTACAGTTTGCTACACCGTGCTGTGCTTCACGTATATTTATACATCGTTATTATACAGGATAGATGTTTGTACACGGACGCTATGCTTGTGACTCTTGCTTGTCTTTTTTCTCTTTTTATTTTTTCATTTTTTTATTTTTTCACTTAATCACTAGCGCGTAATGCACGTTGCATAGTTTAATAATGTTTATCTGTCCAACTTTCAGGGTATTGAAATAAAATCGATCCATTTGGTGCTATTCAAGGTATAAGGTAAGTGATGGAACGAACACAAGTTGCTGGCATACGTTACATTTTCTAACAGAGATGAACGTGTTTATCGTATCACGGTACAGCGTGTTACGATACGTAATAAATATCTCTTTTTTTTTTACCTTTTATTTTATTCATTCCATTATCTTTGGCTTTGTACTTTCGACCGTTGTACATTATATTCAAAGAGTCACTGTGGTATGGTAGTTTGTCGAAAGTAGTTGACGAGAACTCCCGCGCATATATAGAAACACTCGTGTCACCGCTCCGTCAGGTTTTTAGACAACGTTCACGTCACTTTACCATTGATTTACTGATGGTTTGCACAAATATTTACACGATAGTCGAGTTTCTCTTTAAAAGAAAAACACTGCTGAGTTATGGTATACTTGTACTATCAAGTATACGTAAGATGTAAAATGATGTATCCTTTTCTTTTTGAGATGGCAGATGTTGATCCCGAGACTTTGCTAGAATGGCTCAGTATGGGGCAAGGAGACGAAAGAGACATGCAGTTAATTGCATTAGAACAATTGTGCATGCTGTTACTCATGTCCGACAATGTGGATCGTTGTTTCGAATGGTAACGCAACTGCACTGTACGTTATATAGCACGTTGTATGCATGTAATGTTAATATAAACATTTTGCGTTGCGTTCTCAGCTGTCCTCCGCGCACGTTTCTCCCAGCGCTTTGCAGAATCTTTCTGGATGACGTGGTGCCAGATAGCGTGCTCGAAGTGACCGCTCGA